TGTTCCAAGCGACATTTGACTCACTTTCTATGGGAGCACGGGAAGGAGATGTGACAAAGAAAAAGATGAGCTCCTGATGGATGGCAGAGCACGGTGGTGACAAGGGCGAGTCTGGAACCAGTCCACCTGGTATGCGTCACAGCTCTGCCACTTACTAGCTAAAAGATGTGGGATGTTTCCAAATCTCTCTGTGCCATTCATGGGGTTGCTGTGAAGAAGTAAATGAGCTGTAAAATGAGTCAGAGGAGTCTGGTACATAGTAAGTATTTGATAAATGTCAGGCAAAGAACAAAGCAAAGCAAAAACAAAGGAGAAACAGCAGCAAGAGAGACATAGCTGGAAACAGACGCACAGAGACAGGGAAAATGCCAAGAGTCGTCAATTAGGCAATGAGCCCAGCAGAGGAAGCCGCGCTATGTGTTAGGAGGCTGCTGGCATCAGCTGGGACCTCAAGCCCACAGAGCACCCGGAGTGCCCCTGTGGGACCCGTTACCCACAAGAGATCTGTTAGGAAATAAGGATACGCTGCCTAAGGGAAGGTTTCCTCCTTCAATCTAAAGGCAGAAGGATGCCACAGAACCTTTATCTTTTAACCAGTGTTCTTCTTGAATACAAGAACCGCAAAGGCATTTAACCAGCCAAGAAGGGGGATGTAATGCAAAGTCATGGGATCAAAGGCAGGAAGTCTAGCAGCTGTTGAGCCTAGATTCTGAACATGTAGAGCTTCCAGAAGCCAGGGAAGCTGGCTGCTCTCAGAACTCTCGTTTCCCCACTCTCTTTCCAGGAATGTGTGTGTCTCTCATTTCTGCTGCCTGAAAATCTGCTCACCCTCCTTTTGTTCTACAGATGAGCTTTCTTTTGCATTACCATTTACACGGTACTAATTGTAGCCCCCAATGGTCACCTTGACTCCCTCAAATACATATTCTAAAACCCCAGGAGATAGTTGTATTGTTCCTACATGGATCAGATTTCAAACCGTGCGACAGAAAGCTGTGGCCACGATAGAGGAATCCTATAGTACGATAAGGACTGCAGGGACCCAACCTGTGTCTTATGTTGTATGTCTGTGGTAGGGGTTGGGGAGGTTCTCAGAGAAAAGGGTCTAGATTTTGCAGACTCCCAGACATGTCTTCTTTCTCCTGAGGGGCTGTCTCTGATAGGTAGGAGTAAGGATGGGCAAAGGATGGATCTTAGATTGTGTGTGTGTGTGTGTGTGTGTGTGTGTGTGTGTGTGTGCGCATGAGAGAGGAGAGAGAGAGAGAGAGAGAGAGATGTTATCATTAAGCCCTCTGCCATATTTCTTTGTAGTAAATTGCCTTCAAAGCTAAAACTCAGAACTTAAAATCCTAGGATAATTTATCGTTATCACCACATCATCTAGTATAATGACATACTATAAGCTACACATATTTAAAGTGCACAATTAGATAAAGTGTGACATTTATATACACCTATGAAACCATCACCATAATAATCAAGATAGTGAACACATCCATCATCCCTAAATGTTTCCTTGTGCCACTTGGTAATCCATGTTCCTTGCCCCTCCCCCACCCTAAACAACTACTGACCTACTTGTTGTCACAATTTACTTGCATTTTCCAGAGTTTTATATATAATGGAACCATACAATACACATTTTTTGGTCTTCCTTCTTTTATCCAGCATAATTATTTTAAGATTCATCCTTGTTTCTACATGTATTAATAGTTCATTCTTGCTAAGTTGAATTCCATTGTGTGTGTGCTTTCTTAAACATTTTTTTTAAACAAGTTCAAAAGTTCACAGTGATAGAATAAAAGTTTATACCACTCGTCCACAACAGTACGTGGCAGGATAGAAGGGCTGTCCAGAAAGTATCCAGCCATTGTTAATATGTTAATTTAAAAAAAATACATTACATGGCTGGATACGGTCCAGACAGCCATTGTAGATCTTAGTGGAATTTGAAATGAACACTTTGCTCAAGTTGCTACAAGTTAGCAGAACTGCTTCTGTTGTGTTTGTGCAAATGATTAGCAAAGAATGTAGGTGGAAACAATTCCTAAGTGGTGTCCCATAACTGCCTTCTTAATACTCAGCAGGAGACACCCCCCAATTTGGACCCAGACAGTGGGAGAGAAGTAGCAGAGAGGAACAGCAAGAGCAAAGTTCTTTGAATTCTGCTGTAGCTGTGTGACCTGAGGCAAGTCACTTCCCATGTCTGAACCTGTTTGATTAAATGGGGAAACTGGACAGTGGTATCTCAGCCTTAGCATTCGTAGACCCTCCTCGCCTGAGGGTGGCCCCACGTGAGCTGTCTTCCCTTGGAGATGCTGGATCTGAGGCACGTGGGACCCACTGCCAAAGTGAGCAACCCTTCCCTCTCTCCACCTCACAGGGAACCCAAACTGTCTAGTAGGGGATGACATTTTTCCAGGTAGTGTCCAACCACAAGAGCCTTTTTCTTCAAAAAAAAAAAAAAAAAAAAAAAAAAAAAAAAAAAAGCCCTTTTCTGCCAATTTCTATCTAGCAGGCTGCTCTTGTCTTGGTGCCAGTCCTTGGAGCTAAAGAGAGAAGCGCCCTCTACTGGCGGGTCTCGGGCTGACACCGCCTCCGCCCGCTGCTCTGGCTGTTTCTGCCGCCCGTGCAGGCCCGGGGCCAGCTCCCTGTTACCCTGCTCCTCTGAGGTGTCCCCACGTCCTCCCCTGCTACATTGCTGGAAGTCCCGCCCCCAGATTCCCCTGAGATTTAGCAGAGAAGCAAGAACCAGGGCGTCGAAAGGGGAGAATGCCAGGAAGGCGGCTGGTGTGGAGCCAGAGAAACTGCGGCTGGCTGGAGCAAGTTTGAGCACTGTCCCCGCAAGGCTGGAGGGGGCTCTGAGCCCTGGCACCTTCGTCGGCTCACACATGCCTGGACGCCGCCTTGTCACACTCAGCATACAGAGCGTCGCTAGTCCACTCAGCATCCACGGCTCCATCCCATTTGATCTTTCTGGCAGCCTTAGGAAGTTGATTGGGTTCTTTGCAAGTGTAAGGCCCTTGAAGGAATCAGAGATTGTTAAGACATGGCCTCTTTCTTCTTTTATAAGCAGTTCTCTCCAATAGAGACAGCAACTGCCTCAGTAGAAAGCAGGGAGTGAACTTACTTTAAAAGGCACCAGTGATGTACTGTAGGCAGAAGAGGAGAGGGGGGGGGGAATTCCCGCTGCAGAGAGCATGCGAAACTCGGCTTTTCCTTTGGTGTGTGCCATTTCAGCTGCAGAGTGGCCACACCGCCGAGCAAGCCTTCGTGGACACGGTGGAAGAGAGGGAACCTAGGTTTCTCCTCTTGTTTTGCAAAGTGATCAGGAGGTACAGAAAAAGGAAATAAGCAAAAGTGTTTGGGGGAATGTCCTGGGGCTTTCATCTAAAGAACTTCTGTTCACACTAATTTGCTTTTTTTCTTGACTTTGAAAAACCATTGAATGCATGCCAGCTGAAAAGTAGGGGGCTGGGGCAGAGAAAGAGAGAAACTGACTGACTTTTTGGTTTGCTACTCATGAAAGAGTTAACTTTGATTATATCTGTAGTGGAAATAAGTTAATTGAATGTGAATGGAAGTTACTTTTTACTTTGCACTGTTCTCTAGTGTTTGAAATTTGTCCATGAGCATGTGATACTTTTATAATAAAAAAGAGCTTTTATAATAGAAGAGAAATCCCTTCCTTCCTCTCCATCCTATCTACACTTGTTCTGGTACATGCTCATTCTCTCTCACCTGTAATCATAACACCTTTGTAACAACTTCTAACAAGAGGGACGATTTACAGAGTGTTTGCTATAGGTGAGGCAGCTTGCCAAGTTCTCCAAATGTCATCTTTCTTATTCCTCACCACAATTCTAAGGGGAGGAACTACCACCCCTTTTATACAGATGAGGAAATTGAGCCTTAGAGAGATTAAGCAACTTGCTCAAGGTCACAAAATTAATAAGCGGTGGAGCCAGGGTTGGAATTCAGGCAAAACTTGCAATGGTCTAAAATGGGATCACTGCCACTATTTTCTGCTGCCAATAAATGTCTTAGACCTGATCTAATCATATCACACTTTTGCTTAAAATCTACAGAGCACCCTCCCCACTCCCACCATTGCCCAAGTCCAGTTTTCAACACATTCATCCATCTAAATCAACAAACAATAGCAAGCCCTAACATCTTCATCAAAGCAATTTTACATGTGATCGCTCAAAATTTCTGTGACATGGGCAAGAGAGAAAACAGTTCTAAGTAATTTCAACGTCTTGTAAAGGGGCAAGACAGCAAATGTTTATTGTTGGGCCCCAAAGCCGAGCCTTAGCTCAAGTGTCCATCTCTCTTTGAGCTCCCTTAACAAACGGTTAATAACCACCTTTACAGCACTGACTGCATTAGATTAGATGCATTGCTAGCCTGACTCTCTTTCCCAGTAGACTGTACCCCCCCTCTGGCACAGGGAGTATGAGCTGCAGCCATGGCCTTAACAGGAAGTTGGGATGGACTGGCAACGGAGGGTGGAGAAGAACAAGAAGCAATGGATGAAGAAAGACATGAGTGATGGCAAAGATGTGCTTCTAGTGTTTCCAGGATTTATGCAACACTGAACTAATATTTATCAAGAATTAGGCATAGTGCTGGAGGCAGAAATAAATGGTAAAGAGGACAAAAATGTGTGTGTGAGGGAGAGAGAGAGAAAAGGGTGTATGTGTGTGTATATTAATATATATATAGTGTGTGCATATTAGTGTCTATAGATATACAGCATGTTTTATGTTTACATATATAATTTATGTACATATATACATATATAGTGTGCTTTGTACATATATAGTGTACATATATGTTATATGTACATAGTGTATAAATACATGCATGTGTACATATAATAGCATATAGACATACATAGTTTGTGTGTATAGTGTGTGCACAGTGTGTATTATAGTGTATGTGTATATATACCATGTACATGTGCACATATACAATGTGTGTGTACATATATATGTGAGCACACATTGTGTGTGTGCATAGTAGAATGCAATGCAGTAGGAAATTTACACAGTACATTAGGAGATGGTAGGAAGGATATTCATTACACACAATATAGATATTTTTTAATAAAAAGAGAAGCTCCTTGAGGCTTACCTCCCTGTGGTGGCAAAAGAGGAGCCACTGAAGGGAGAAGAATCAGCTAGAGAAATTAGGAAGGAAAGGAGTTTAGAGAAATCTCACTACAGCCAAGTGAGAACCACATTCTAAGATGAGGCTGCTTAGTAAAAACAAATACCTCCAAACCCCCCCCCCCAAAAAAAAAAGAAAAAAAGAAAAAGAAAAAGCCAAGGAGATGAAAAACTACTGGGAAATAAAGCTCACTCTATTTGATAATTAGGATGTTAAATAGTGGGGAACCCAGAGGAAAAGGTTCAGGAAGGGGTGGGAGTGGGATGATTCAGAGGTAAGGAAGTAGAATCAAATAAACACAGACTTCTGTCTCTTTCCAAAACTTTTGCCTTGAAAGGATAATGGGCGAAGCAGCTTATGACTGAACCGAGATCAAACACTCACTTTATTTGGTTCCCTATAAGACAAGAGAGCTCAAGCATGTTTGTGGACAAAAAGTTACAGCCCCGAACTGCAGTCCAGCACTCACATCAGGAAGCATCTGTCACATCAAGCATGATATGGCCAGGACCTCCAACCCATCCAGCACTTTGCATCTAGTAACTCAAAAATCCCTTGCAACAGCTCTGTGAGGGAGGTTCTGTGATTATCCCCTCTTCACAGATGAGGAAGCTGAAGCACATAGAGGATAAGTAACTTGTCCAAAGTCACTCAGCTAGTAAATCCAGGACCCAGGTTCCCACTCAGGTAATCTGGCTGCAGCAGTAGTGCTCTTAGCACAGGTGCAATGAGAGATATAGAAAATGCAGTCCTTGGCCTGCCTCCTGCTTCCCCAGGTCCTGCGTAGATGGCCTAGGGCTACCTTCCTTGCCTTTCTCCCCTGCCCAGGGAGAGGTTTTGAATCCGGGGATATCCATGCCAAGTAGGCAATAGAAATGCTTTGTTTTAGGGACAGTGGCTCTCAGCCCCTAGCAACTAAAAGAGGCTGTTGGTGTCACAGGGTTTGCATCTCTTTGGCAGTTAAGAAGGTTATCATAAGCATTATCAGAAGAGCAGTAGAATATATGCTACAAGACCTAAGTTTGAGACAACTGGCTCCAATTCTTAGTATTTTGTAATCTGTGTGGGTACCAATCCTCCTTCCATAACATAGGATTAATGATGATGATGATGATGGTGATAATTATCCTATATCCCTTAGGCTGTTGTTGTAAGCAGCAAGTGAAACAATGTGTGATGGTGCATGCAGATATGAACTGTTTATTATTATTATTATTAACAAGCTCTCAAACTCTCTGCAAAATTGCTCATCCTTTCCACTCCCCTAGTTCAACTCCCAAGCCATTAAAAACTTAAAAGACATCAATTTGGGGTAAGTATTTCTAAATCCTAATACTTTCCATGTATGCAACTTGCCCCAAATCTAAAATTCCCTTCTATGGTGAGTCAACGTGACACATTTTTACAGTTTTATGCAGGTGAGCTGTGATAACCTGTCAATACCTAAGATTACAGTGCCTGCAGCTGCTCACAACTAATAGTTGTACCACACATTTCACACCTTGCCTGTTCAGCCTTCTTTCTGCAGGTACCATGTGTAGCATGATGATAATACACTCCCTCCAATGTGGCATTTCCCCCTCATCTCTCATTTCCCCTTTTCATGGCTTTCACTTTTATAAATCAATGTCATCTTTAAGCCCTGCTGTGGACAGAGCATGAGGTGACTTCAATCCAGAAACTGAGGGAACACACTCATTAAAGGGCACTTGAGTACGTTGGCCGAGTGGCCAGGCATTCCAGCTGCATTCTGCCAAACATCTGGAGGGCCTAAAGACATTTTCCAGGAGTCTCATTTGGCAGACTGTGGAGACCAGGTGTTTAGATGAATTTGTCACCTTTAAACAAGATAGTTTGGTTCATATATGATGAGCCAAGGATTGTATGCAAAGCTGCCATTCTTTATGGTTTTCGGTCTAAATTATTTTGATTTTTAACTTTGCATGATATAAACTACATTTCACAAACAAAGTTAAAACAATTAGGCAGCAGCCAGATGGGGTGCATGACGGGTGCCAGGTATGTGGTCAGTAATACGGACATTTATGGTCACAAGCAATCTGCAAGAACATCTGGGACACCACCTCCTTTTATGTATGGATGAGGAACCAGAAATTCAGGCCAAATTTCACTTTTTTTGCTGTTGTTTATTTTGAGGAGGAGTTATACATGTTGCATGTATGTCTTAATTAAGAAAACGGAATATACAAAAATTCCAGATTGCAGAGGTAAGGCTGTGATGATCATTTGTGCTAGCTGAGCATGGCTTCACGAAGAGGGGGGCTTACCCGGAACCCCTTTCTGTATTCAGCAGCAGCTCTAGTGGAAATATGTGACTTGCCAGTGTTTCAGAGCAAGGCACTCCTCCACTTCTGTCCATTCCCCAACACCTCCCCCCAGTAATCAAATGTTTGCCCTGTGTTAATCTCTCTGTAAAACTTTACAGAGGAATTCTATCATTTGCCTGTTATGCAGAAATCAGCTGAAAAGCATTCAGAACAAGAGTGTGTTTCCCTCTGTGAAATCTCTAGACCAAAATAGACAAACAGACCCCTCCTCCTGCCTCTTTCTCTCCTACAACTCCTCCCAAAACGCCCCACCACCAGATTCCACTCTTCCGAGGTAGGCCTGATGGATGCCATCCCAGCTCCCTCCACCCTCTTTAGTTTCTATCAGCCAAAATGCCAGCGAAACAGGAGCCAGTACTTATTTGGTTAATATTCTTATTTTTTCTTTCTTAAAGCACAAATAACATTTCTTTCAAAATAAATATACAGTTCTATGAAAAAAATAGAAAAAAAAAGTGCTATAATCTTGGTCACTGTCCAGCAGGAACATGTTTCATCGTTTTTAGAGTCAGAAGTCAAGATCTTCCATAAAAATATGTTCTTTTAGTCAGGCTCTAGGGCACTTTCAAGCCTAAGAATTCCTTATTCTACAAACAAATCCTTTTAGAGATGATTTAAATATGCTAGCGATGAAAATGCCTCATTTATAACCAGGAATCAAGGCTATTGAAGTGAGCTAGAATTTAACACCAACAATATGACTGTATTGATACACAACATTATATAAATTACTTTGTCAGTTGCAAAAATACATCACATTTTATCTATAACAGTTTTCTTCAGTTAATAAGTTAGTTGCTTTAAAAAAATATAGCTCAGGTGTGTTTCTCCTGATTCAAGTGTGAAAGGCAAAGAGGCACCCACCACAGCGGCATCACGACGCGGGCACTGGCGCGGGGCGCAGGGTTCCCAGTATTTTGTCCCAGTGAGTGAAGTAAGGGGCGAAGTTGCAGTTGAACTGCGTGTGGTGCAGGTCGTGGTGCGCCACGCCCCCGTACCAGCCGAAGGGCACCAGTCTGTGAGTGGACCAAGGGAAGTCGTAGCCGGAGTGGTCCTCCACCGACAGCCAGATGTTGAGCACGTGGAAGGTCAGGACGGTGAGCGGGTGGCACCCGAGCAGCGTGACGTTCACCATGTCGAAGAAGCCCAGGGAAAACAGCTCCCAGATGCTCATGTACTGCGTGGCCAGCGCGAATGAGGACGGGTTCTGGTGGTGCAGCTTGTGGAAGGTGCGGTACAGCCAGGGCACCCGGTGGTGCAGCAGGTGCCACAGGAAGAACTCGGTGTCGAAGAGCAGCAGGCACAAGACGACGTGGTGCACCAGCTGGGGCAGCTCCGGAGCTTCGCGGGGCAGGTGGGCCGGGCTGCGGGCCCAGTGCAGCAGCGTGGCGGGGAACACGAACACCACGTGCTGGTAGAGCGTCTGTCCTAGGCAGGGCAGCAGCTGCCGCGCGGACGGCGAGAAGTTGGGGTGGATCTTGTAGCGCCGCAGCTCGGGCACCCAGGGGCACAGGCCGTCCAGCACCACGAAGGGCAGGCAGAAGCCCACGTAGGTGGTGATGGAGAAGATGACCGGGAAGAAGGGCGACTGGATGAGGGCCTCCCAGGTCCTCAGGCGGTCCCAGAGGGGCTGCAGGAATAGCTGCTCAGAGCCGCGGAGGATCTGGGGCTCCGAGCAGCTGCAGCAGTTCATGGCGAGGCTGTGCCAGACAGCTGCCGTGGCTCGCGCCCCACAGACTTTTCTTAGGACTTGCGGCCCCGCCCCGAGTGATGTCAGCCCAGCCGCCTTTCTCCGGTTCCCAGCAGCGCGGAGCTTGAATAAACAACCCGGCAGAGTCGCGCGGCGGCGTAGCTGTAAATATTCTCATCTACAGACGCATCTAGCTGGCTTTCGCCTATGCACGCACGCAGTGACACTTAGTAACTTTTCATGTACATGCAGAATGATGTTCCGATTTTTCAACTGACATGCAATCGACACACAATGCAAAATACAGATCTACAGCTTGGAGTTTCTATGAGTTTCGACAACTCAGTTCAACCGTGTCATCAACCGCTCCCGACCTAGCGAGTGTTTCCTTTGCCACCAGAAAGTGCTCTTTAGCAATCAGCGCAGAATTGCTTGTATTTTTAGATGCGTACGAATGACTGCATCGATGTGTTTTCATAAAGACAGAAGTATAACTCCATGCTTTAAAAGCTTTTTAAAGCCACATGCCACGTACTTCGGATCTTTTATGTCCGCGCACCCGGCGGCGGTCAAGCCAGCAGCGAGCCGCAAAGGATCCCTTCGCAGAGGGAACCGCAGGTCCCCGGCCGCCGCCGCCCGCTGTGCCGATCAGCGCCGGAAATCACCCCCGACGGGTGGCGGGATGGGACCTCGGCCAGTTCCAGCACCTCCCGAGAGGAGCTTCGGTGCCGGCGCGCGGCTGCAGGGGCGACCGTCGGCGGCGCGTGCCGGGCGCCCAGGCCAGCGACCCCACCGGGAGGCACGGCGGCCAAGAGGGGGCTCCGCGACGGCAGGGCTTCGCTGGGCGTAGGGGAGGGGTGGGAGACGACATGCTGCATTTAACTCCCAGAGCCTGAGCCAGTCTGGCTACAAAGCCTTTGCATCTCAGTTTGGGGTGGAAGCAATTAGATCAGTAAACTACCTACTTTGTTCACCACGGGAATGATGCGTGCGTCCCTAAAGCCCCCCTGGGAGACTGTTGAAGGAGCAAGTGACGGCCCCCTACCCTTGCCGGCTTCCTGGCACCAACTTGCCCCCAGCCCTCCACCTCCCTCCCCTCAAGCCACTCCTGGCCCAGAGGGCTGGGCTGTGGGCCTATCTCCATCCGCTGCATTCTTCTTTCCTTCATTTCTCCGTGTTAACTCACTTGGCTGGTTTTTGCTTTGTCTTCTTTCCAAACTTTTCTCTGGAGACTCCACTAAAGGTGCAGATGTTGCACAGCTGTTCCTGCTGCAGTTGAATCACTCCGAAGACTTGCCTCTTGCTCTGGACATGGCTGCATACGCCCTTTGTAGCCTCGCAATCCTGGCTGCATTCACGTAGTTTTGTTTCATCATTGGAGCTTTTCGCCGCAAGAAATCCTGTGACATTTTGGCTCTGTTCTTTTCCAACTGGCTTTGACGCGGCTTATTTTGAGCAGACCACGAATATCTCTGCACTCTTGTGGGGCAAGGAGAAGACTTGCTAATATTCTGCCAACTTGGAACGCTTCATTTTTTAAAATTTGCCACAAGAGGGCACTCTTGGCCTTGCTGGCAAAAATCTTCCCAAGCTCCCTACTACTTTTCTTTTTATAAGGAGGCTTTCTCTAGAGCCTTCCTCTACAAAAGGTAGAGAACTTCGTTGCTTTATAAGCCAGCTGGACTCTGGAATGCATCCCTTGTTCATTCCTCGGTCTATTTTCTGGTGTGTGGGAGCCTGACTGACCATGAGCTCTCAAGGGCATCTCTGAGAGCCTCCACGACAACAGCCAGAAATAGAGAAACCAAGTCAAGTCACCTATGGCACCAAAGCCATTCTCTGGCAAGCTCTCTCCCTCTACTGCTAGAAAAAAACAAAAACACCCACTCACTGTCCCTTTCTTTTCATCCCTACCCTGCAGAGTATCTGTACCTGGTTGGCCAAACCACTTTGCCTTGGTTAAAGGTGAAATAAGGACTCTTGGGGGGGACCTATGTCCTCAAGAAGGGTGGAATTCTCCTAAGGATGCTCGCCTTTTGCATCTAGGACAATTTTATTCTTTATACGGATGCCATGAAAAATCACACTGATTCCAGCTTCAGTCCCTAGATCCTCCCAGATGTTACTTGTACATTCATTTAACTAAATAAAGAAGTCTGTCACTTTTCACACATTGTGTTCATCACATATTTTTATTGACTTACCATATTCCAGGCTGTGTTAGATTCTGGGTATACAGAGATGAGTAATATATGGCCTATGCCCTCAAGCTCACAGAGTAGTGGGAGAGATCACGTTTGGGGCTCATATAGATGTTCTGGGGGAGGCCTCTGGTGCGATCTGTCTCTGCTGGCTTTGGTTGCCATTTGGATGGACAGTCCTTGAACTCATGGTCCTGCCTGCAGCCAGCCACACAACACAGATGCAGGTAGTCACCTGCCTAGTCTCCACTCACAGCCTAATGTGGACCACATTCACAGATAACGTTCAAAGCCAGTGTTTGCAAACCATGCCATTCTCTCCTCCCCATGGAAGAGGAACATACATTCATGAGCAGTATCAGTGAGGTTTACAAGGAGGACAGAGGAAGGAGAGATGAGACAGGAGAGCATAAGACCTGCCAAGAGAGGAAGGAAGAAAGAGAAGGATAGAATGGCTATGAAATAAAGGACAAAACCCACACACAAAATCCTTCAAGCCTATGAGGCTCACTGGGTTTTATTGAAAAGTTTAAGACTCTTTAAATGTTACAAAGTATTATTCTGCCTCTACATGTTAGCCAATATCAAGTATTGTTAGTGCAACTAAAGTAACTATAACAAGATCAATTGTCATTCTGTCCATCAGACAGTATTGTAAAGAAACAATGTTGCAAGAGAAGCAAACAAATATAGGCTTCTCAACATGGGGATGCAAAGCAAATGTATGAAAAATATGGACACATATAAAACTAAAAAACAGAATTAATCCCTGAGCTGAGGCTTCATCTGAAAACAATCAGGTTCACATTTCATTTGAGTGAAAATGAAGTAGGACACTTCTCATGGGTGACCACAGGGCTTTGGCTTCACACATATGTCATCACTGAGCCATAGCAGCTGGTTTAAGTACATTAATCTCAGGAAAAGTAGTGGTATGGTCTCCCCACAGGGCTTTTCTTTTCAGACAAGTAGAATTATGGTCTGCCATGAAATTTAGAGTTCGTGAATATAGATGGTTAAGTGTATCAGTCTTCAAGCTATTTTAAACTAGTTTCTTTTTTTTTTTTTTAATCAGTGCAATTTGTTTTTGAAACTTCCAGCAAATTATTTGCCCTGAGCAATTTAAACATGTGCTAAATAACGGCTGTCACAGTTAGATTTGACAAAATTCATTATGGAATCTTGTAATACTTGCACAGCTGAGATATGACTGGATTTGACTATGCACCTGCTGCATGAAAACATGAAAAAGAAATGTCATTTAGATCCCTAGATACAAGACCATTAGACTGGAGAGCCCTTTTTAAGGCAAACACATGGGAACGGAGCACGTGTGTTAATTTGTTCTGCGTGTGGGTAAAAAGTCAATATGGTATATTTTAAGTATAAACAGAATGGTTATAATGACCTCTTCACCTATCAGTGATATTTTTAAAAAACTTAAAGAGACAACACTATGGCTGAGACACTATTTCCATATTCAGCCATAATTAAACAAAAAGTAGCTAGGGTGTTTCTAGGTCTAACTAGAGGGCATCTTTAATATCACCATTTTCTTGGATATAAAAATATAAAAGACCTGGGAAAGGAAAACAAGTATTTTACAGAAATTAAACACACACATTTTTGCTTGACTGAATCGCCGACTCGTTGGTACATTTCCCAATAGGCTTTCACGGATATTTCCTCATTAGATTAATAATTTCATTATACAGCCGCCAAGGGGCATCCAAGCCCCAGATAAAATCGAGATGCTCCCACTCAGGAATGCGCTTGTGGTACACCAAGTTGGTAATCTCAGTCAGCAAGACATTGATGTCATTGACGTCCGCAAGCCAGTCCTGACCGCCACTCCACACGGCAGTGGGCACAAGCATGTCTCTCACATTGTACAAGGGGGGGTAAGTCTACGATAAAAAGGAGCCACATCACATTAAGCACAATCTCTACTAAACACTGTCTAGTAAGTTTAATCTACATCTATGAGACTAAATTTTGAAAATCCTTATCAGCATACTTGTTGAGTTACCATCACCGGAACAAAAAAGAAATCTAACCGCAAATGAAAGAATACTGCGTAGAACACTGCTAGCTCCGGAGCTGCTACCGTATGCTGGGCACCATGACAAGCGCTTACTCCCCAGTGAGGAAGGTGTAGTTCTCTCTGAGTAGTGGATGCAAAGCAGTGGAACCAAGCGGTTGGAAGGAGTTTTGAAGTCATACCCTTCTACCTTCTCTCTTTGGGAATAAGACAAGCCACAGAAATTCTACAAGCCTCAGTTTCCTCATCTTTAAGTCAGAGATAATCACATCTATGTCACAGGGACATTCTAGAATAAGAAAAACATAGGCAGAGTATCTCAATACTTGAGTGCATTTAGCACTCAAAAAAAATGATAATTTTTATTTGTACAGGGAAAAAGAGGCTTAAAAGATATAATTTAGCCAAGACTCCCCACAGCTACCGGGTGACAGACCTAGTACCATCGGAGTCTGAAGTCTGTGTTCACTCTCACCCTGAATGACACACGACAGTGCTGGTTCTTACTTGGAGCTGGGGAAAGAAGAGAGGAGGCCCAGTCCACAACACCAACCACAAAGCTTGGGTTATTTTGGGATGGACTCAGGGGAAGAAAAGACTAGCTAGTCAACTCTCCCAAACACTTCCCACAGCACCTGAGCTAGACCAAAATCCTGATAGGCCAGCTTCCCTGATGAGGTTTTTGGGGCCCACGTTAATTAAAAGACTGAAAACTTTACCTGGTTGTAATGAAAATAATTCTTGGCACTGCTTCCCCAGTCAAAGGCTTGAAACTTTTGAAATTTAACAGTCTACAAATAATCGGGAAAAAAAATTTATTTGGCATAGAAGTTTAAGATAACATCACAGGTTGTTGGAGCTAGCCATATCCTCAGAAATCAGTTTTATACTAATATCCAGATTTACTCTTCATTTCCAAACCATTATTGAAAATAAAATTTCTCATTGCATGATTGGAAGGTAGCTACTACCCTGATACAAGATATGCTTTAAATTATACTTATCAATTGCATAAAATTCTTTTTGATATAATAAAAGTGTGATATTACATACTAATGGGGATTGCTGCATGATAAATGTTTAGCATCTGCTTTTGCCATTGCAAATGACAGATATTAAACACATGTGGTATATTCCACAGAACAAAATATAGATTTTCAGCACCTGTTGGTGCATCTGTTCTCCATCTCTCTGTCAGTGAAAATACATCCGTGCAAACTATTCTGCTACTGCATACAGACATCAGTTCCTCACTTTGTCATACCTTTCAGCATTCATATAAAGCACCAGGACTGAGTATAGAATAAAAAGGAAAAACTTGCCTATAGCTCAAAATGAACTTCAAAACTTAACTTTTGTGTTCAAAGTCACTTAGGACTT